TTACGCCACCTTTCTTTGCGTGAACATTTGGGCGGCGTTATGCAAATCTTCCCACATAGTGATGTAGACATGTGGAGGCGTGTTAGAACGAGGTGTTTTAGGTAGGCGTGGTTGACTCTTAACTTTTATAAAGAATATCTCTTTGGATTTGAGACTTTAGTCTTTGCAACTTTACAGATCTTCTTTATGCACCAAGAGCTTGTAACACTCCAAAGAGAAAGGAACAATTGAAATCGCATCGTATAACCCCTTTCATGCCTGTTTTCAGACTGCACATCGGGAAGGGCGTCCAGCTGGAGTGTAAAGGCGAAGGCGATGTTTGGGTTCGCTGTCTGAGCGATCACGCCGTCTTCGTCCAGAGCTACTACTTGGATCGTGAAGCCGGCCGCGCTCCTGGAGATGCCGTGCACAAGATCTACCCCAGCGCATACATTAAGGTTAGAACGAGAGTGACGTCGAGCTTGACAGAGAGGTTTAGGATTTTGAGAAGTGAAAAAATGAAAAATGAAATGTTTGTTAGGATAGGACAATATTTGGCTGAGATACAACTATTTGAAAATCTGGAATCTGAGGGTGCAAAATAATCAAAAAATTGAGAAAATCATCTTTAAAGTTGTCCAAATGAAGTTCTGAGCAATGCATATTACTAATCAAAAATTAAGTTTTGATATATTTACGGTAGGAAATGTACAAAATATCTTCATGGAACATGATCTTTACTTAATATCCTAATGATTTTTGGCATAAAAGAAAAATCTATAATTTTGACCCATACAATGTATTGTTGGCTATTGCTACAAATATACCCCAGCGACTTAACACTGCTTTTGTGCTGCAGGGACACATATATATTTTTAGTTACTTTAGCATCAAGTTGAACTAAATGAAATTAAGAACTGACTAGCTGAAATAAGTTTAAGGTTCTGTTTTTTATTTAATTTTCAGTTAAAGATCATTTTATGTCAAGTAACTATGGTTTGAGTTTGATCATAACCCTGGAATCAAATTAACAGTTAAAATTGTTTGTGCATTCATATTCATTAATATAATAAGTTCTGTAATTAAATAGTTTTTTTTATTTGTGGATCCAAGATCAATGAACTGAAAAGGTTAGACAACCAAAATAAGTTGTATATACTTACTGAAATAGTAGAAACTAATCACTGTAATGGTCACTTGAAAAATAACTAATCAATAAAAAAACACTACATCGGGCTAAAACATCTATTAATTATGAATAATAAATATGCAGCCTGTTAGTTGGTAATAATAAATGGCCTAAAAATGGACTTTTTTGTGTAATGTCAACTTTTTCTAAATTGGATAATTCAGTCAACTGTTAAAATAGAGTTTTTGTGATAAAACGGAAGTTGGATTTTTTTTTTTTTTTTTTAAAGCCTCAGACTTTTGAACTTCACTGTATGTTTCCTGATACGAAATGCAAGATACATAAAACATTTATTTTACAAAGTTTTAACTTGAATGTTAAATGTGCTTCAAGTTATGTACATACAGTATGTAATACGTGCACATTTTAGATGTTGGATGCACAAAATCATGCAGACACTGTTAGTTGGTGAAGCCGGCTTGGCTCTCTGTCGATGCTGATCTCAGGAGCTTGACCTGAGCTGCTCCTGCTCTGTTCTGCAGGTGTTTGATCTGCGTCAGTGCCACAGACAGATGCAGCAGCAGGCGGCGACAGCACAAGCAGCGGCGGCCGCTCAAGCAGCAGCGGTGGCCGGAAACATCCCCGGCCCCGGATCCGTGGGAGGAATCGCTCCTGCTATCAGTAAGTGCTCCTAATGTTCACACTTCTGAAGTTTGCCATACTTGGAAATACAATCATATAGTCTCAAACCTGTTAGTTCGTTTGAGTGTCCCTCTTTTCTTCACTTTCAAATGGCTTGTAAAAGTGCAGCGCGCATTTTACTTTCACTTTCAAATTAGTAATTCGGCGTCAAGCAATTGTTTGTTTGAGTTTTCCCTGGGATTTCTTGGCTTTCAAATAGCTTGAAAAAGCGCCGTGCGTGTTTTACTTTCACTTTCAAATTAGCGGCAATTCAGCGTTGATTCAATTCAAGCAACAACAGTAAAATATTGCCAAACAGGCGCCTTTGCATTTCCTTTCTAAACAATCTTCTGCCATCGTCTTGTGTTTCTCACCTCACTCTTGTCAGTCAGCTCGACTCAAATCTGACTCCTGCTCCGTGGTGCACTGTCGTTCGCGCACGGTTCGGCACGCTGCATTGAGCGTTTCATTTTTAAAAGTGTATGTCCTCTAACTGAACTAGGCTAAATGATTTTTGTTACTATTAAAAAATCAAAACGACGGTGGGGGGCAAATGACGTAACCTGTGTTGCGGCTTAACACTGGTACCGTATTGACCCGAATATAAGACGATGTTTTTTTTCTTGGAAATACGACCCAGAAGACTACAGTAAGATTTAACTTCTACTGTTAATAAGATTTTGGTAGGCTACTATTAGATGGATAGCCTAAATGTCCTAATTCAGATGGGCTACCTGTTTTTTTTTTTTTTTAGTGGTATATCAAAAAGTGTATATTTTTTAAATGTGATTGTTGGTACATTTTACCAGTTTTTACCATACTTTCAAAACAAAAATTAAAATAGGAAAAATATGCAATATGAAAATAATTGAAGACAAAATGTGTTTTACTGAGAAAAAACAAGATTTGGTTTTTAAAAAGTCTTTTTCCAAAAGGTACATCTGGAAAAAGGGGGTTCGTCTTATAATCAGGGTCGTCTTATATTCGGGCCAATACGGTATAACCGAAAACACCGTCTATCGCAGCAAGCCTAATCTGAAGGCAGCTGACAGTCCTCAGACAAGTTTTGATGGCATTTTTGCTTTCATCTTTGGAAGTGAAAATTCGCAGAAATGGGATTTGAATTATAAACGACTCGTTTCAGCGTTTTTTTTTTTTTTTTTTTACACTAACTTTATTTGTGATGCACTTTTAGCTTTACAACTTTGCACACTGGTTGCATTCACATTACACACTGCATGTAAGGTCATTTTCAAAAATCCATAATTGGGGCACTTTAAATTGCAGATTTTAATAGCATAGACATTGGTGTTGTTTTAAAACAAAGTTGCAGCCTAAACAAGTGTGGTTCTGTAGTAATATCAGAATCTTCCAGATTGATTTCTGCTGCAGTAGTATTATGTACGGAAGCTTGTTTCTGCCACGGAATAAAGAAAATAAAGGAAATTGAGACTTTGAATGGAATTCTGACTGTTTTCTTGCAGTTGCGCGTTTTTATCTCACAATTTACTGACTTTTTCCGCAGAATTGCAAGTTTATATTTAGCAATTGCAAGTTACGAGTTTTCATCTTGCTTTTTTTATTTATTTTTTCTCTGAAATCTGAGTTTATATCCATCTCAAATTGATAATTACTGATACAGAATTCTTAGCTTACATCTCACAATGTTTATTTTTCTCAGAATAATGAGTTTATATCTTGCTTTTTTGACAAATTTAAAAAAAAAAGTGACTTGCAACTTTTTCTTTAAAATCTTGTTTTTTGTTACATTGTGAATTTATCTCTCTCAGTTCTGACTTTTTTCCTCAGAATTGTGTTTTTATAAAAGTTTACATCTTGCAATTTTTTACTTTTTTCTCAGAATTAAAAATTAAAAAATGCGCAGTTACCTTTGTACTTTTTAATTGCATGGTGGAATCAAGCTTCCATAGTTCTGAATCTGTTTTGGTGTAAAGTGCATCATGTGGTCACGTGTTAACATAGACTCACTCAATGTAATCGCTCATGTAGGTTTGTCTGCGGCCGCTGGAATCGGTGTGGACGACCTCCGCCGGCTCTGTATCCTGCGCATGAGCTTCGTCAAGGGCTGGGGTCCCGATTACCCTCGACAGAGCATCAAAGAGACGCCCTGCTGGATCGAGATCCACCTGCACCGCGCGCTGCAGCTGCTGGACGAGGTCCTGCACACCATGCCCATCGCCGACCCCACGCCGCTGGACTGAGATCAGACACTGGACCTGACAAACCCAGTACCGCCGAACTGTGCGAACGATGCAGAGAGACCAACGGGGTTCAGAGGTCAACGTCACGGCTGCGTTTATTTCATTTGCTTTTTTGTTTTTGCATGTGTTGCTTTTGTTCTCCTAACATTCGGACCTTGAAGTGCACAGGACCCAGTGTTGTAGTAACCAAACCGATCATCTAAAGCTTCACAAGTGATTTGCATGAAGATGATGTGCGTGTTTGCCAGCTCTGCAGAGGTGCATGCTGGGATTCAGTTGAGCTGTTTAAATTAATTTGTTCTTAGGGATGCTGTTGCTTCACTAGCCACTAGAGTCCCCCATCGTGTCAATCAGACTGTCTAATTTCACTTTTTTTCTACTTTGTTTTGGTCATCATCTCTTAATGCAAACCAGAGTCTCTCAGGCTGAATGTTTAAAAGCTGTCATGCGCAGTGGTCTGGAAGTACGATGGCTGACGTACCTGAAAATCATGGAACATCATTTCCTTTCTCTTGAGTTGTTTGGGTTAAAGCGGTTTGGACTTCGAGGTCGTATTAGCAGGTGTTGCATGTACAGAAGATATGCGTTTTCTTTTGCGCTTCTCACTACTGTCACACTGACTTTTTTTTTTTGCAAGTTTCTCGCTGCATGCCGTTAGCCATCATAGCAAGATTAACGGTTAGTCTAAACTCATGCACAAGCAATAACGACCGGTTTCTTCTGAATGCTTTTTTTGTTTCTTTTAGCCATGTGTTTGTTCTTGCACTTTATGTATGTTTCTTTTTCTTTCCATCGTTCAGTTTCTCTTCTTTGCAGCCTGTGAATAAAAATGCAGCTCTTTTATAGAAAAACTCATTTGAATCAGTACTAGGATGTTTGGTTTACAGGAATAGTTCAGGCAAAAATGAAAATGTGCTCATCCTCAGATCATCCAAGATGGGTTTGTTTCTTCATCAGGTTTGTAGAAATGTAGCATTGCATCAGTGTCTCACTGCAAGTGAATGGGTGCCGTCAGAATGAGTCCAAACAGCTGATAAAAACATCACAATAATCCACAAGTAATCCACAGCACTCCAGTCAGTTAATGTCTTGTGAAGCCAAAAGCTTAAAAGTTTAGAGCTATTTTGGCTTGATCTGTGCAGATTTCTCTCCTGATTCAGACCAGAACACTTTTTCACTGGAGGAAGCGTTATTATGGATTATGGACTCGTGTTTTAGTGCTTAATGCTGTCTTAATGCTGGATTTGTCTCAGCTTTTGTCTTCTCCAGATGTTAACTGATGGACTGGAGTGCTGTGGATTATTGTGATGTTTTTATCAGCTCTCATTCTGACGGCACCCATTCACTGCAGAGCATCCATTGCTGAGACACTGATGCAATGCTACATTTCTACATTTTCGTGAAGTATTCATTCAAAGCATTATTGGTTTAAAGCAGCTTTCACAGCTGGTCAAAGGTCACAAGGGCTCCGTTTGATCTGTTTCTAAAGATTCTTTTACAGGAAACTGATGAATTAACACTTTTATACCATTAATCTCTCTGTTTTGTAGAGCGCACATCATGCTCCCTTCTGATGCCTGAGATTATCAGTTATTCATATAATAAATGTCGGCCGTGTATGGATATGAGATGAACTGGAACAGTGTGTTTTGATGTGAACATTGAAAGCCATATGAAATGAACATGATGGGAAATAAGAAGTCAGTATTATTCAGAGCTGGTGTTTTCTCTATGAAATGTCAGACTTACTCTTGAGATGTCGCACCGCTGTAATTTAGGCAATCATGTCAGCCTTGCATGTCTGGGAGTAAGTTTAGATGACGGATCAATACTTCCGAATTCATATTCTGTTTGAAAAGAAATGGGAAAATTCTGAACAAGAGGAGCACGCAAATAGCTCGTACTTTTAGCAGGTTATCAAATACAGTATATTATTAAATTGATTTTGAAGTCTTGTGTATATCATATTTATTCATCTTCACAGAAATGTGTTTTTGCGCTTGTGCTTTTCATATCGGAGCAAAATCTTTCTCAGACTCCAATTTAAAAATTAACATAAAACAATTATTGCAAGTAAAAAAAAGGGTATATTTAGGTGAGGTCTTGATTTAATCCATCAGGAATTGATTTGATCCTGAAACGTTTGTTAAATACGTAAGCGTTTTTCTATAGCTTCAGAGCAGAGCAATCACATTTTAATGAAATATAAACAAAACTATTTTTTTCGTTGTTGTAATAATGTGCACTTATGAAACAATTCACAATAAGACCAAAAACATATATTCAGAAAATATTTACTAAAAATTTGATTTCATAGTTTTCGATAACATAACATGACAGTCGATGGATAATGTTGAGTTTTAAGTAAATTTTAGTTTGTGTTTTTTATAGTGCTGTCAAATCGACTAATTACATCCAAAATAGAAGTTTATATTTACATAATAGTAGTAGTAGTAACTTTATTTATCCCCTTAGGGAAATTTTGTTTCAGTGTCTTGTTTCAATATGCGGTTCTCACAAACGACAGTACAACATAAATTTCACAACAGACAATACAAATGTAACATCAATTAATCAAGACGTGCTAATTACTGAATGAGACCTGCTCATTACATAAAAAAAAAAGGGGAGAGGAAAGAGAGAGAGAGAAAAAAAACCTCTTTCTTTCCTATCTTTCATTTAAGAGCTTCACTGCCTGTGTTATAAAAGATTTTTTCCCTCTATTTTTAAAAAACACCGGTATCCTGAACCTTCTACCCGAAGGCAAGAGCTCAAACTCATTATACAGTGGGTGCCTATCATCAGATATAATTTTGATAGCTTTACCAAGACATCTAGTCTGATAAATTTGTTGTAAACCCATCCCAGGGATACCAAGTAATTTACTCGCAGTACTTATAATTTTCCTGAACATACTCTTTTGTTCCACCGTAACATTCCCGAACCAGCAAGTAATACAAAAAGTCAGTACACTTTCAATAAAAGAGTTATAAAACACCTTTAACAATGGAGGGCTTACGCTAAATGACACCATCTTTCTAAGGAAATATAGTCTTTGCTGGCCCTTTTTGTTCACAGCGTCAGTCCATTTATCCCACCTCAGTTTGTGATCTAAAACAACTCCAAGGTATTTATACTCTTCTACCCTCTGAATCTGGTCCCCTTTAATAATGGTCGCACTCGTTGAGGACTCTTTCCTAAAATCAATACACATTTCTTTAGTTTTTGAAACATTTAACTTGAGATTTGATACATCACACCAAGAAACAAATTCAGTTAAAAAGGGTCCATGACTGTCCTCATCCCCTCTAAGGAGACTAACCAATGCAGTATCATCTGCAAATTTGATTAAATATCTCGCTGGGCAAGTACTCCTACAATGATTTGTGTACATAATAAACAGTAAGGGTGAGATCCTCCATCTAGAGAGGGAACTAATATTCGTGATTCGACCAGAACAGATGGCACAATATTATTAAAAGCAGAAGAAAAATCCGCAAAAAGAATTTTCACATGATTTTTAGGACCCTCAAGATGTGAATAGACAATATGTAACAATGTTAAAATAGCATCATCTACTCCCTTATTTGACTGATAAGCAAATTGAAAAGGATCCAGTAAATGCTGTTTTTTCCACTATGTACCTTTTAACAAGCCTTTCACAACATTTAAACACAACAGAGGTTAATGCAATTGGTCGATAATCACTAAGCTCTAATGGTTTGTTAATTTTAGGAACAGGTACTATAGTTGAAGTTTTCCATATAATTGGCACTGCATGCTGGTCAAGTGATTTTTGAAACAGCAAAGTAAAAACTGTAGATAATTGCTCAGCACATGATTTTAACACCTGACTGCTGATATTATCTGGCCCGGGGCTCTTATGTATATTACACTTCTGAAACATTTTTCTGACATCAACCTCTTTGATAAGAAATATATTTGCAGATGTCAGAATCATTGATTCATTTTTCTTTCTTTCTTCTCCATTTCCTTCAAAATGGGAGAAAAAAAGATTTAACGTATTTGCTAGTTTAAAAACATAATATATGTGTGTGTACTGTGTATATTTAAGAAATATTTATGTGTATACATATATATTACATATATTTCTTAAATATATACAGTGGGGAAAATAATTATTTGATCCCCTACTGATTTTGTAAGTTTGCCCACTTACAAAGAAATGAAGGGTCTGTAATTTTTATGGTAGGTTTATTTTAACGAATAGAGAGAATATCAAGCAAAAAATCTTTCTCTCTCTCTCTCTCTCGCTCTCTCGCACTCTCTCAGGCCAAATAAAGTGCTTTTGCTTTCGCCTAGAAACACACAGCGTCTCTCTGACATGCTGCTTCAACACTAACTGCGGTTACTGAAACCACGCCTTCTTTCTTTGCGTGCACATTTGGGCGGCATGGTCTGGGGACTGGCTAGGCCACTCCATGACCTTAATGTGCTTCTGTTTGAGCCACTCCTTTGTTGCCTTGGCGGTATTTTGGGTCATTGTCATGCTGGAAGACCCATCATCCATGACCCATCTTCAGTGTTCTGGCTGAGAGAAGTAGGTTCTAAAGAGTTCAATTTTGTTCTCATGTGACAACAGCACTTTCTCCCAAGCCTTCTCTGAATCATTTAGATGTTCAGACGGGCCTGTACATGTGCCTTCTTGAGCTGGGGGACCTTGCGGGCACTGCATGATTTCAACTCATTGCAACGTAGTGTGTTACCAATGGTTTGCTTGGCGTCTGTTGTCCCAACTGCCTTAAGATCAGTAACAAGCTCCTCCTGTGTAGTTCGGGGCTGATCCCTCACCTTTATCATGACCATCCTTTCCTCATAAGGCGAGATCTTGCATGGAGCACCAGACAAAGGGCGATTGATGGTTATTTTGTATTTCTTCCATTTCCGAATATTCACACCAACAGTTGTCTCCTTCTCAAAAAGCTTCTTGCTGATGGTCTTGTAGCCCATTCCAGCCTTGTGCAGGTCTACAATCTTGTCTCTGACGTCCTTTGACAGCTCTTTGGTCTTGCCCATGGTGGTGGGAGAGGTTTGAATGGAAGATACACATTCTATGGACTGGTTTCTTTTATACTCATAACAAGATGACAAATAATTATTTTCCCCACTGTACATGTATGTGTATTTATATATACATATACACAGTACCACACATATATTATGTAAATACAACCTTTGGTTTTAAATGCGATTAATCGATTTGACAGCACTAGTTTTTTAACAATCCATATCACGTTTCATATTACATATGCATTTGTGTAAAAACCTTTTGTATTAATTCAAATTTAACTATTCACTTTCTCCAAATGTTACATGATCTGCAAAGATCAAAGACGATACTAGCAATTATTTTGAATTTATTGGTTAATTATGGGATTTTGCTAAATTACAACAATTTTTTGTGCGTCTCTACGTCAGTACGACGTAGCTCCTGGTATTAATATTCATGTAGTGGGCGTGGCCTGTCACGTCAACAGGTTGTCGCTCGTTAAGAACAGTTTGTCGGCTGAGCTACAAACATCAAGGCCTCCCCTCATTAAGGTAAAATACTGAGATTAAACTCGTTTTTTTCCACTTTAATTACTTTGAATTGAGTCTTGAAACAGTACAAGTTCGCTAGGCCGAATATATGTGCTTCATGCTTAACTTTAGGTGACCTTATTTTAGCGAACAAACTGATGAATCTGTCGTGAGGTAAAAGTGACTTACCTCAGTAATTCGCGCCATTCCTGTCAAAGCGACAATTACTTAAAAAAAAAAGTAGAAATTAAATTATCCAATCAGGTAAATAAAATCAAGTTAATTCGAAATCTTTTAACCTTAAATATGAAACCGGACACTACTCATCCAAAATATGGATATATATACACGAATCATGAATCTTCAGATATATATGAATCACAGTAAAAATACTGTCTTGGTTGGACTTGAGTATTTTGAACTCAGCTCTAACAATTTTTGTGTTTGACCAATTAGACACCCCAAAGTTCTAGACTATATACAGTGGAGATAAAGATTAGAAAACAACCTATAATTTCCTAGATTTTCAGGTCACTGTTTAGTCAAGGGGTTCCCAACCATAGAAAATGTATAGGTAGATTCCCCATTCGACTGCTAAGCATGTAGACGCGTCCGCCAAATTTAACATCATTCACCATAATAATCAATGAATATTCGAAGATGCCACAATCCTGCACAGGTTGTAAAAACCGCCGGGATTTAAATTCCCGAAGAAACGGGATAACCTTTCACAGGTGAGAATGTGTTGGTTTGTGTTTTTTAATGTATTAACTCAATATTACAAGTTTTGAAACATTGGTAACTTACGTTACTGTTATGGTGAATGACGTCAAATTGACTTTTCGAATATGGCGGACTGCTTACGTATAGCGGCCCATAGTAACAGTCGCTAATGAGGCATCTACGTATACTTATCTATGTTCCCAACCACATTCCTGGACCCCCATGTTTTCCATATCTCCTTAAAGTATTAGTTCACTTCCGGAATAATAATGTCCTGATGATTTACTCCACCCCCATGTCATCCAAGATGTTCATGTCTTTCTGTCTTCAGTCGCAAAAAATTAAGGTTTTTGAGAAAAACATTCCAGGGTTTTTCTCCATATAATGGACTTCAATGGGGACCAATGTGCTGAAGGTCCAAATCACAGTTTCAGTGCAGCTTTAAAGAGCTCTACAGGATCCCAGCCATGAATCTAGAGAAACCATCCGTCATTTACTACAAAAAAATAAACATTTATATACTTTTTAACCACAAAACCCATGGTTGGGAACCACTGACTTGAAGTTATCCTAACAGGAGTACAAGGGCAGTTTTTTAAGCATATTTAATTAATTGTATTCTGATGCACAGTATAAAAAACTTAAATGAGATATTTGAAAAAAAAAAACTCTGATCAAAATTAGAGAACACTTACAGATACCTCCAGGTTATTGGCGCCAATCTGGCATCTGCTGCTAATTTCCTTAATTATCGTTTCAAATCTGTGATTTGTAAAATATTGCAACTTTACAATGACAGTAATTCATTCAAATCTGCCAAAAAGGCTGGTCGTCCACGTAAGACAAATGCACAAGACAGGATAATGCAGAGACTCAATGGGGAATCGGTTCAGCACTGCAGCTGGAATTGCTCACCAGCACTGAACAGGGTACGGTCAAGAGTCAAGAGGCATTTATTTATCATTTGCATAGTTAACACTGGGGAAAACTGGGCATTGAAATGCTTGTGACGAGGCTCAGACATACAGTGACAATAACAGGACCATACAAAAAAACATACAGATATAGACGTACGTGGAGGGCACTGAGATATTGAGTGACTTCAGTGACCATAGGCAGAACAATAACACAGACAGAGCATTAAATACAAATAAGTGGCAGTAACAGATACAATAAGGGTAGACGACAGTGTTAAGAGTTTTAAGTAGTCCTGAGGTACTGATATAAGAATATTGGGGGTAGAGCAGTGTCCAAAATGTCATTGTAGAGTGTCGCAGAGCTACATGAAAGAAAATTAAAGTGGCAGTGCAAGTACAATAAATAATAAACTTAAGAGCACAGGGATGATGGTGGTTTGCTTGAAGCATGTGTCTCTTCACGTTTAAGAGAAGTCGGACTGAAAGCACACTCTGCAGTGATCAAGCCTCTCATCAGCAGAAAGAATCAAAAGGCTAGGCTCACTTTTTCTGAGAAGCATGTTGTGTGGAGAGAGAAGAACTGGTGCAAAGTTCACTTTAGTGATGAGAGCACGTTTTATTTTCATACAAGACAATGCACCTCCAAAATGTTAGTCGTAATCTTCTTTCGTGCTGCAGTGGTTACTGTTCTCTAATTTTGATCACTGTGTTTTCCACAAAATAAAGGTTTTTTGTTTAAATTCTCTGGTTATTTTGTCAAACATGTTAGTGGTATTCCCACAGCTAATATTCCTTCAAATTTTGAGCGATGAAGATTAACAATATTTCAGAAAAAATCAAGTATTTATAGATTCTCTAATTTCTAGAGCCCGACCGATATGTTTTTTTTTTGGGGGCCGATACCGATATTAGGGAGTAAAAAAAAGGCCGATATCGATATATCGGACGATATTATTTGTGTATATTATAGTACAGTACCAATCAAAAGTTTGGACACTTTCCCATTCGTGTGTCCAAACATTTGACTGGTACTATATATAGAATACAGTATATACATAAACAGAATATATATACATAAACACAATTTTTGCAATGATCACTCAAATGTTGTGATCAAACACTTATAATGATGTGACAAAGATACTTAATGGAGGCAGGGCATTTAACAATTTAACAATAAACTTTATTCAAAATGAGTCTGACATCAGTGCACTGAACAGTATAGTTGAAGTTTATTCAACTTTAATTCAATTAAATTCCATTCAACTTTATTCCGTTTGTTTATTTCACTTTGGAACATTCATTATGAAATATATAAAAAATATAATATATAAAAAAAAATTTCATATCGGCGGCGTATCGGCGCCATATTCGCCGATACCGATATATCGATGACAGGTTCATATCGTCTAAACGATATATCGGTCGGGCTCTACTAATTTCCACTGTATATAACAGTAAACATGAACTACTCTCCTTCCTTCATCTTTCTCAAAAAAAATTTCAGCTTTTCTAGTTGCGTCCCTTGCAAAGCATGCTGAAAACGAGAAATTCCCTATTTCTATTTGTACACACAAAATGAAGATGACAAAACTGTTTTGCATTAGCTCATTTAAATTTAAGCAAATTGAGCAAGCAGCAAAAACGCATTTGTCTAAAAGAGAGCAGTTTGCATAAGAATGATTATGCAAAATCCCTTTAATGCTTCATACAGTCAAGCCAACAAATGAAGAGTTTTACCTGCTGCTCTGCTACAGTTTTCTTTAGAATTTCAGTATTTCTTTAAAATTTGTTTTTTTTTTTCCTTTTCAAGAAACTTTCTTTTCCTGTAAAATTATTGAAGAATTTCTTGCAGGTGTCATTTTTGAATCCGATGTAAATACTATTACAGAACTTTACTGTAACAGAACATTTATGGCACATTTTATTTAGAGCTTTTGTCACTGTATGAAAAAGTGATTATTTTTCTCCTGATTTTCTCCTTTTACGTTCCACAGATTAAAAACAACAGCGTTCCAAACCTGAACGACGTGAGGGTGAGTCATTTTGCGACAGTGAACACAACAAGGTCTTGTTTCAACAAGAAAAGGTTTATTAATTGAAAGACAAGCCACAAATTTAAGAAAACGACACTAATAAGCTAGCCTGAGCTCAAGTCTGAAATATTCAGAAAAAACAAACTACATGTGTCTTGGATAATTCCTATATTTTCCTCATATTGACACACTAAATGTTAATATATAATTTTATAAATATAAAAGCTCCCCGGTTTTGTTATCCTTCATGTAAAATACACAATACAAATCACTCTACACATATTAGTAAGCTTTTACCAATTTTCAGAGGATATAATTTACTAAGAGGTAAATTGGAACAACACACAAAAAAGAAAAAAAAATACATGTGTACTGTATATGTAAGGTACATCATCCAAAACGATAAAGAGAGAAAGGGGGGAAAATATCACAATTTACACTTTCAAACATATCTGTCATTAAACTGCTTTAAAGTAAGGGACTGTAAATAAATATCCTTCCATTTTATCTCAATATTTACATCTAGGACTTGAGTTCTGAGTTTTCTCAGAGTACCACGATGCTTGTGCTTGCATTTGAACGCGCTACAGCAGGCCACGACTCACTACGTAAACAGTCAAATGGCACTTAAAATATATTCCAAAAACCCCCCCGAAATAAGACGACAGAAACCAAGCATGTCACTCTACGTACGATAGAAAGAAACCAAAACGAAAACGAAAAAACCTCATGATGACACTGATAGTGCAGTGCTCGTATTGGTGGAATCCCAAAAGAGTTCTGTTCATGTCATCAGCAGTTGAATCAGTTTGGGTGCCTTTAAACTGCATATGTGTCAAAGGTGAGTGTGGCGTTTTGGGAGACGTCTGTCCATTGGCTTGTACTGGTTCTGGAGGTCTTGGTGAAATCAAAGGCACTGAAGTCTCTAGTCAGTGAAGCTGCCTTCACGCTCCTCAGGGGTTGATATGTTGATAACAGAAGAAGGGCAAGTTTCTTTGCATTGATATCCAGAGTAACGTCCATTGAGGATTTCCATTTGAATTTTAGTGTCTTGGTCAGAAAAGGAAAAAAAACCCCAATGCAACAAAGAGAAGACTTTCCGAATCAAAAGTAAGTGAACCGCGTTTTGGCAAAGTTTGAGTAGAAACACAAACAGAAAATGACCGCACTGAACTGTTCTATACTTTCTGGCACGCTGTCCGAAAGCGAACTCGTGATATTCTAGCAGCACGAGAGAAGGCATGCAAGACCAAAAGCACTTTGAGTCGTGTCGTCGCACACGATCAACACATCTACCCAACTATCCAACAGCGAAGAGCCGTCTATAACCTGTACTGGTTCTGGAGGTCTTAGTGAAATCAAAGGCACTGAAGTCTCTAGTCAGTGAAGCTGCCTTCACGCTCCTCAGGGGTTGATATGTTGATATCAGAAGAAGGGCAAGTTTCTTTTCCTAGAAAAGCTTGCATTGATATCCAGAGTAAGGTTGCAAACGTCCATTGAGGATTTCCATTTAGTGTCTTGTTCAGAAAAGAAAAGAAAACTAAGAAAGTATGAACCGCGTTTTGGCAAAGTTTGAGTAGAAACAGGCATGTGGTTTGAAATTAACGCACTGAACCGTTCTATACTTTCTGGCACGTTGTCCGAAAGCGACAGAGAAGCGAACTCATGATATTCTAGCAGCACGAGAAAAGGCATGCAAGACCACAAGCACTTTGAGTAGTGTCATCGCACACGATCAACACATCTACCGAACTATCCAATAGCGAAGAGCTGTCTGTAGTCCAGGCACGAGGACAGAAGAAAAACCAAACCAAACCAAAGCTCTTCTGTAGGAACGAAAACGCAAATCAACTCTTTTCTATGCGTGAGTACAAAAACCATTACGAGTAAATTACATAATCTCAGAAATAATTCTTCAGCTGTAGAAAATCTTTAGTAACTGGTCGTTACGCTTAAAAAGGTGACTTTCACAGATTGCACACGTAAATATAAACCAACATCGCGATTATCAGAAACTTGGACGCGTAAGACGGAATCTCTTCAATTGAGCGGCAACGATCAGGATGGTTTCTACGTTCATTAAAATTAAGATTCATAATACATTTCGATAAAAAAGATGCATAAAACACACATGAAACAGCTTCTGCGCACACAGTCACACATTGAAAATAACGTCAGTAGTGAAGAAAATAATGCTTTTCAGTTTCCAACCTACAATTTTCCAGTGTTTTCCACAATAGTACAGCAATTGACAGGTCAAGTACAAAAATTATGCGCAAGTTAGTCGCACTCCACACCAATCTGAAACCAAACAGCCGACTTCATCCTTAACTTTACGAACGAATGCTGTGATCTCCAGAAGAGGATTTAACATTTCCCATTTCACAAGTAATTAAACAGCAAACAAACTAAACAAATCCCTAAACTCGCATCATCTATACATGCAGATTAAAAAAATTATAAAATCAAAGGTCTTGTACATGAAACAAATGGTTTGTAAAATAATTGACGGAAATGTTTTCATACTGAAATCTGCTTGTTTGTGAATGGGACCCAATGTTTAAACCATAGACTGTATAAAAACATGGACGTAGTGTCCGTGACGTCACCCGTAGGAGCGGTTTTGAAGCTCAAAGTGGGCGGAGCTGGCCGTCGCCATCTTGGCAGCGCGTCACTCCCGGATAATCGAAAATGGGCAAAGAGGCGGGAGCAGGTTGTTGAAGCCACGCCCACCTAGCTCGACGGTGGTGACAGCAGCGGCAATCCACCTGTCACTCAAGTGGCCACGCCCTTAATTATGCAGAACTTTAAGGCTTAATATAATTTAAACGGATGAGTTATAAAAAAATTCACCCCCCTCACAGTTGTCATGAAGGGCAAAATTTGCTATATAGACCAAAACCACTTTTTGTACCAGGCTGTAAACATGTTTTTTTTCTGCTGTAAAGTTGGGCATTTTAACTTGAGGAGTCTATGAGACTGACTCCCTTTTGCAGCCAGCCTCTAGCGGCCAGTCGATGAATTGCAGTTTTAGTCACTTCTGTATTGGTTTCACGAGAGAGACCGGAAGGTTGCCGCTTGGTTTAAACTCTTTATCGCCGTATATATTTATCAACTGTTGGTCCACCAATCGTGATGTGGAGGGCAGCCGATGTGAACTTAAAACAAGAACATGTGGGTCAGCAAAGAAGAGACACAATCCCATCAAGACCGGCAGCGCCGGCGTGAGGTAGGGTGACGCAAAACACACCATGACAAAACAACTCGACCAAATCCACGCTTTTGCACACATAACTTCACCTGATTCCAGAGGCGAAGGAACGAACGGGCCTTGACGTTGCAGTAAGTGAGCGACAGACACGTTCTAGCAAACCATGACCCTGAATTTTCATGTAGGTGCTCAGTGTCAGATCACAAATCCAGCCACGTGTCCACCGTGATAAATTGGGTGGCAGATGTTTACGCAAGACTATGAATATTCTCTATACAAACACGAGCGGCCTCCTTGGTGTCGCTTCACCAGTTCAGACGAAATGAAAAGCTGTTGTTTGGGTTAAGGCACTAAGATGAACCCGAGGTACATAAAATCCCTGACATTCGCTCTGTTCTGCAACATCGCACCGGCGTGAGAGGCAACGAAGCTTCGAAATGGCCCGAGACAGCCTGTTATCTCTCACACTTGTGTTTTTGGTCCAATCGGTAAAACTCGAGACCCACAACACCAGTTCGCACATGCAGAGTATATGTACAATGACAAGACAAAAAACTCCTTTTTAGCTACCAAACGACTAAATCTACAAACAGAAGGCAATTGGAAACACTCGGACTGGTGAAAAGGCAAGCTCATTACGTTCGGTACAAGTTGTCTAGCCTGCTTCGATTATAGCAGCATTTAGCACTCCCTAACCAAACAGCAAGCAACATTTGGCCCATTACATGTTCTAAACAAAACTGTAAACAATGACCAGTACAGTAATAGAGAAGTGATAAATATCGACTAGGCGAATGGAACGTAACTAGTGGCTTGGATTTGAGTTCTGGCTCATCCAGAAATGTTTTCTATTAACATCAGGGCTTTAAACGTTACAATCAGCATCTCGTCACATCATAAAGTTGATATACTATCAACAGATGATCCCACTGTGTCGTGGTGATCCATTTTCGCTTTTAAGAATGGATGCCTTGGAGACAGATGGTACTGAAAGAGATAGAAAGCGCAGATGGGGGATAAGAGCGAAACGGACGGGCTTTCAGACCGAGGTGTACGTGTTTCCCACGCTGCCGCAGTGGCGGATGGTGCTGGTTCCGGTCGAGCTGAGGATGTGCTCGGTGTGATTGCCGGCGGTCGAGGGCAAAGCGCTGAGCATGCTGGGTTGAACCACGCCCACCACCGCGCTGCTGCCGTCCTCCATGGCTCCCACCTGCAGCACCTGGATGACCTCCGTCTCCGCTTTCTCCCGCTTGGCCAGAGGCTCGTCAAACTCCTCCATCTCCTCGTCCAAATCGCTGTCCATCTCGCTCACCTCGTCTAGCAGACATCAGAATGAGACGTGGCAATTAAAAAAGAAATGGCGTTCACAACCCATTTCACTTCAGTAATGCAATTTTTCATTTTTGGGATAGTTCACCCAAAAGTGAAAACTAAGGCTACGTTCACACTGCGAGCCTTGGTGCTCAATTCCGATTCCGATTTTTTTTGTGTAGCTGTTCACATTGTTGTTTTAAATGTGGCCAATATCAGATTTCCAGTGTGAACAGATCATGGTTCTGAACTGAGAACCATTCTTTCTTTCTCAATTCTTTCTCAAAACTAGCCCAATCATGTTCAGGGAAGTAAACATCGCGTTAGTGGGGTTGCGTCAACCCACGAAGTTGAAAAACATCCCGTGGAAACAGAGGAAAAAGTAGCCTAATTCCGCGGGGGAACTGTGGATTTGGCAACACTTGCGCAGCGCGCCGTCATACGGAAGTAAACGCAGAGGATATAAAGTAAGCGATTATGCATTTATTTATAGTGTGATCTGCTGCAGAAGCCAGCGAAATTATGCGCAGGCAATATGAAAAAAATAAAGACAAGGATGTGACAAAAGAAAGCAGAGTTTTGAAACTTTTATGATAGGAGCCCTCATGTTTTGCTTGTAGAGTTGTCACTGTAATACACATGAGTTCTGACACATCAGTGTACTTCCAATGATTATCTTTCGCTACTGTCTTGATAACTTTGGGTATGTAAAATCTTTGAAGTGTCTCCCGTCAGCGCGGAATTATGACGAATGTCGCTCTAGAGTGACGTAGAGTGACCTTCTTTCTTTTTTGGACCACAAAAGGAATTTTTTTTTTTAATGTCCTGCACGCTTGTCTGTATAATGGCAGTGTATGGCGATCAACATCAAGCTTTTTAAAAAAAGACGCAAAATTATACACGTGCCGTATATTCTGTATAAGTGTTCGGGGGTTATACGATAGGGTTTGGTGAAAAACAAACCAAAATGTAATTTACTATTTAACAAATATCCTGACTTGTCCATTGGAAAAGTTTGCCAAAGCCTATCGGTTCCCCCCCGAACACTTGGAATATACAGCACGTGCTGCATGGGACCACTCTGTGATACTTTTGCGTCTTTTTTAAATAGCTTGATCCTCATCACTATATACTGCCACTGTATGGATGAGCGCGTGTGGGACATTTATTTATTTATTTTAAATCTCCTTTTGTGGTCTGAAAAAGAAAGCGCATACAGCATTAATACAACACAAGAGTGAGTAAATAATTACTTAATTTTCATTTTTGGTGAAATATCCCTTTAAACAAGAAAGAAAATGTTGGGCAATGTAGCTTGATTTTATCCATCAAAATAAAAATGGACAACCTATTCTACAATGGACCACCAGCATGGTCTCTATTAGTCAGAAGGACATGAGTTTAAGAAAATTAAGAGGGATTGGTGATACCAGCCATAAAGGAGAATATAATGTGCAATGATGAATCATACCAAAAATTGCCTCATGATGGAGGAACACAAACAGTACAGCGTTCGTACAGTAATGACTCATCCAGCAATCCAGTCTCTCAAAGGAAAGCAACTAAATCTGAGTCCCCTACTGGTCTAAAGTGGCTGGGCTTGTTAGTCTGGACTGTAATTACGTAACTCTGGGTGTAATGAGATCTCAGCTTGTAGTCTGAGCTTTGGCGGGCTTACCTTTGTCAATGTTGGCAGGTGACATGGTATTCAGATCCTGAAACTGCGATAGATGGAGCAGCACAAAGAAATGGCAATTAGAGAGAAAGACTGACTTCATGGCTTTTTACAGCTCATGCTGAGCTACAGAAACAGTCTTTACCTCTCCCATAACTCCGATGGGGGTCTCTCCCGTCGCCTGTGCGACGCGGTGTTCCACCAGATAGAACATGTACTCATCATACAGCAGCCGGATCAAGTGGAAAGAGCCGAAACTCGCAGCGCTGCGGAGGGTCAAGTCTCTGATGACCATAGAGCTGTAAGAGTCCAGCAAAACATGCAAGTACAAATTACAGTCGACACTTCGATCGTAAAGTTGTAGGAGAGATTCTGGTGTGGATGCCAGAGTTTGGTTCATTTGGTTGTTCTAAGGATCTCGGAGATCCCAGTGTGGTTTCAATCTACACAAATTGAACCAAGTGTGAAAAGTCTTGCCTGTAGAAGGACCACTTGAGCAGGAACTGGCGTGCAGCTTTGGGGAGGGTGGGTGTATCCTCGTACGGCTTGAGCATTTGAGTGACCACGTTATCCAGCCACGCTGCCCACTGTTCCAAGGAGCTCTGCTGCTGGAGGGTGGCCTTGAAGTCCTGCTCGAGGCGTTGAACCAAGCCCTCTTCACACTGGCACACCCACGATGCCTGCTCCTGTAGGTCGTCAACAACTAGTCAGAACATCACTACAATGGATCTTCTAATTGACATTGTAAGGCTGGAATAGGCTACAAAAATTTTGCACAGATTTGCAGTCTGGACAAGTTGGCGACAGTTGCCAAAAGTCAGAGCCAGTCTGCAGATTTTGGGTAATTGAAAGTTTACAGATTTCACAGAAAACTGCGTAGTGCATGATGGGCGAAGACTCAAACATGCTTGAAATTTTGAGCTGATTTTAGAACACATGGTTTTCATTTCTCATGCATCTCTTAGAAACGAGGCGGACGCTTCTGCATGAGTTTGTTCAGGGCTCCAGACTGCGACCAAACTTTTTTTTTTTTTCTGCCGGTGGGACTAAATTTTGTGAGCGGTCGCACTGGAGCGACCACCGCGTTGCCCAACTCATAAGCGCTTTCATTTCAGGTTGCATAAGAGAAAGATCAAATGGCTAACAAAACAAAAGCGTAATGAAACCGCGCTACTCGTTTGAGCTGCACAGCGCAGACCGTTTATCAGCTTGGACCAATAATTGAACACAGTGCAAGAAAACTGGTCCGAGCTCAGAACAGGTTTACTCGGGAACCAATCTTGATCTCGTGACACTGTTACAGCACAGCACTGCGAGATCCAGAGAGATTCCAATTCTGCAAAGAATTCTCTGTTATAAACGGATCAAACAGCGCTGACGTAGAAAACCAGAATAGTAAGGATAACTATAACCATTGTGTTGTGGCAGAAATAGTCAAATGTTATTACATTATTCATTTCAGGGTTTGTACAACCTTTTGAGAGAGAAATTCAAGTATTTCACACAACTATTTCCAGCACTTTAAATCTCTAAAAATGATCCAATTTAAATGTTATTTTTAATGGGATGACCAAATTATACATTGTGATAAATAAACACTTATTTAAAATGTAAAAAGACATCAAATTACCACTATAACCAGTAGATGGCAGCACTAATTGGCTAATTAGTCATTCCTTTCCACTTTTTTGCTTCATATTACGATATTATAAAAATAACTATAATAAAAATCAAATCAACAAGAAATCAAATTTTGTCAGAGTTTTGCTCTTTTTTTGTGTATGAAGTAAGAAAAGTCACAAAGTGCCTTGAAAAACAAAATTTTCTTCAATTTGCGACCGAATCACACAAAGCAAGTAAAGAGCGCTACTTTTATAATCACTGAAGTTGTCGGTCAGTTCAGTATAATATTATATAAGAATAACAGCACATTTAATAAGAGTAGAATATATTCATTTTTCTTATAAAAAATGCACGTTACTGTTGTTAATAAAAGTAAATTTTGCATGCTTCCCAACACAAGCTCAGTGCTTTACTGTATTACCAAGAAATAAACGTGTAATATTATTAGTAACTGCACCTATTAATGCAAACCCGTTTTTAATACCCGCCCCCAAATGGCCAGCTTTTTCCTGTTAAAAGGGATAGTTCACCCAAAAATGAAAAGTTTATGTTTATCTGCTTACCCCCAGGGCATCCAAGATGTAGGTGACTTTGTTTCTTCAGTAGAACACAAACGAAGATTTTTAACTCAAACCGTTGCAGTCTGTCAGTCTTATAATGGAGGTGAATGGGAATCACGGATTTGAGAGTCAAAAAAACATACACAAACAAAACCAAATTAAACCCTGCGGCTCGTAACGATACATTGATGTGTAAAGACACGAAACGATCGGTCTGTGCAAGAAACTGAACAGTATTTATATCGTTTTTTACCTCTGATTCACGCAATGTCCGAACTGTTCGAACTGTACTGAGTGGCAGCGCGTCCTCCTGAGCACGCGTTCTCAACCACTGGACCATTGACACTCCTAATTGAGATTGTAGATAGTGTCAATGGTCCATTTGAGAGATAGGTGGCAGTAATGCACTTATAAGTCTGCGATCATCAGGCTAGTGTTTACCATTAGTATTTGTCATTTGGTGCAATAATAGGCTAGTGTTTAATAAAGCAATAAGCCCCAAGAAGTCGTGGTTTACAGTGAATTTATAACAGCTAAGGAGTGTTGTTAGAACCCCCTTAGCTGTTATAAATTCACTGTAAACCACGGCTTCACGGGGCTTATTGCTTTTATAAAACGGTTATTCCATATACGTAGTAAGGTTTCACAAAATAAAACAAGAGCAAATTTACAACAGCTTCGAACGCGGCTCAGCCAATCAGAATCAAGGACCGGAACTATCCGTTTTATAACAAGGTTTGTAGTATCTCAACTGTACAAAACACTGAAGAAAAGAGTGTCGTGATGGTCCATAATGATCTGTGCCTTCTGAGGCTATGACTATAAAGAGAGACTCACTAGGAATGGGTCTCAGTACGTCAGGGATGAGGATCTCCACGAGGGCCTGATACATCAGGTGATCACAGGTGTTCATCCACTTTAGCACTGCCTCGTTTCGGCAGAGCAGAATCAGTGTGGTCTGCGGCAGGCGGCCCTCGATCTCGCTCATACCACTGAATCAAAATTAATCATATTACTTGTTTAATCTAATAAACTTGATGAAGCACCAAAGAGGTAGGTAACGAGTAACACACCTGTTTTCTGTGATGGTGGCGCCCTCTACGGAGCTGGATGGAGAATAGCGCCAGAAAGTCTGCCACAAGTTCTCGATGAGATTGAACTGAAGGTTCACCACTACGTCCAAAATGGCCTACGTGTGAAAATGGTGACAACTAGGGGTGTGCGATATTGACAAAAAATAGTATCTCGATATTTTCTGGGATTTTATCGATAACGATAATTAGACGATATTTTTCTGAGCGTGTTATTTGTGCTTGTATCTTAAGGACTGCCGTGGACAGCTGACTCCTAAAGTTTTTAATATTCTTCATATTCTGTGTGGTGGTCAGTTCACACTGAGAGAAATTAATCTTTCCAATAAGTTTAAACTTATTTTTTACATTTTATGGGCATTTTTACCTTTATAAAGCCATTTTTTCTATAAGTGTGCATTATCTTTTGAGTGAAATTCTTACATTTAATCAGTGAATTAGAATAATAAGACATCGACCAAATGAAATCAACACAGAAGCTGCGTCTGAAGAGGCATTTAGATGTATTTACACACTGTTTAATGCAAGACATGAATGCATTTAACCTGCAATTACAAATGCATAAATAATGTTTTGATATATTAAACATAAAACGTCGAATACTGATATTTGAAATTATTTAAATAATAAAAGATACTTTGAATGTGAAATTAAAAACTGTTAATAAGTGAGTCATTGTGACTGAATCGAATCATTTAAATGTTTGATTCATTCAGGAACGAAGCGCTGTCAACGCAAAACAGCGCTGTGGCTGTTTGGAATTATTTTTCAACAGCGCAAAAACAGGCAATATGGTGTCTAAAACGTAGGTCTCTTAATTAACTTGTTTATTGAACTGTTGTAAAAAAATCAATATCACATTTGTAATCATGGTAATATTTGGAGAAAAACGGCATTGATTTCACGTAGGGCTGTTTTGAATGGTTTTTGCAAAATACTCGATAATGACAAATCGCACATCGTTAAAACCACAATTACGATATTATCGCAGACGATATACAGTGGGTACGGAAAGTATTCAGATCCCCTTAAATTTTTCACTCTTTGTGCCTAGTGACAACGCCTTTAAACTTGAACTCAATAAGCTGAGAATTGGACCGTAACGATGTCCTAAACGACTGACCTCGCAGTGCTCTCTGTACAGCGTCTGAAGGGCTTTGACGTCTTCTGGTCCGACGCCTTCCACAGGCTCTCCGAGGTCAAGTTCGACGAACTCTGGCAGAGCTCTGGACCCGTCTAAATGGGGCATACGGGGGAAATTCAGTAAAGCTCTTCTGAAACATGAATGTGAGCTAATGGTCTCCAGTGATTTACCCAGGAACTGCTGATGGTGCTGGCTTTGAGCGATGAACGTCTGCTCTGCAGCGTTGGGCGTGTGCTGCCCCCCGGTGGGGAAGTTCTCCCCCGAAACGCCGTCCAACTTCGGTACTGGCTTGAATCTACAGAAGGGTGAACAAGAGATGATCTCGGTTTCAAAACGAAATGAGAAATTGGCAGCAACAGACTTCATTTCCGTTTATGCATACAATGTGACTTGCTTTGCATTTAAGGTATACATTTGATCAGTTCATGCATTGCCTGGGAATTGCAAGCGCCATGCTCTTCTGTCGTGAGAACAGCGCTACAGATCTCTTTCGTGCGGTTTGACCGAGACGACAGTACCTCTGCTTTTGTTGGACGGGCTGTTGTCTCAATGCCATGTACTGCATGTCCTCCTGCAACCGGTTCAGAGGAGAGTCCGGCTTCACGCGAATCCCGTAATAGTGATATTTAGAGTTCCCTCTAAATTCAAGATGAGAAAACGAGTCTGCTGTGACTCAATGCAGCTGTGGAGAGTACAGGACAGAACTGAGCATGTGTCAATGAGAGGAGAGGTGCGGAGTTGCTGATTTTACCGGGTGCCCAAGCGGCGGGTGCGCAGCCCCATGAAGATGGAGCGGATGAGCTTCCCGAAAGACGCAGCGTTGACAGGGTCCAGTTTCTGCTCCTGACAGTGGCGCAGGTAGTGATTGTAGAGGGTGGAGCGCGGCAGACTCACGCCCTCTGCTGTCTCGTAATTATCCAGGAGCCATTGCAGCTGTGGAGAACAGCTAAATTTGTCAGCTAGATTCTCAAAGTTCACATTTCTTTAACCCTCTGGGCCTCTTCATTTGGGAGTCACACTTGGCTCCTTTGCGGTCTCAAAAAGTAACTTTTTTTTTTTTTTCCAGGAAAATCAAATCTAATACATTTTTTGTTCAATAATATTTTTTTATTCTTATTTATGATTTTGAGGGAATTTTATGATACTATGCAATATTTATACAATTTTAATGAGCTATTTTTTCCATTATAATTAAAAAAAAAAAATTTAATTTGTTATTTTTTAATAAATACAACATTTCGCATTAAAATAGAGTGAAGGCATTTAAAATCCATTTTTTGAAGTGAGAATTGTTCCATCTGGAGGCGTTAAAAAATAAAAACTTGTGTAATGTTGCGTAAAATCCTGCATAGCTCCCTATATCAATATATACAGAGGCTTTTGGATTCCCGTTGTTTTTTAGACATCATTTCTTCATTTAATCAGGTTTTGCATTTAGATATATATTTAGACATTCTAAAAGACTACGTTTTGTCAAGATTTAGATATTTTTGGTTAGATAAGTATCAGGTTCTGTGTGTGTGTGTGTCTATTTTGCACTCTTGATATTTTAGAGTGTCACCCTTTGATTGCTACAAACTTTTTTCTGCACAGTGGCTGATTTGTAGTTTGTACCACCAAAAGATTCGCCGAGTTTTAATATTTTTTTTGTTTTTTCACATTCATTTCCTATGTCGGTCATTTTTGACCGCGCAGGAGCCAAGTATGACTTCTTTTTTTACCCTTTAACATAACCGAATCATGTCCATGATTTGTTTGTGTGTTCACATATCTAATGCAACAAAAGTCACCAAGTGTCATCTCATTCCGATGAAGCTACGATTTTTAAAATTTCAAAACATACAATTTTTCGGTCAAAAATGACCGAAGAGGCCCAGAGGGTTAAAACAAAATTGCATCTTGTGTTCTATGGAAGAAAGAAAGTCAGGTTTGGAATGACTGAGCGTCAGTTAATATTACAAATGCTAAAAGTTCATACATGGAAGAACAATAAAAATAAACTTTACAATAAAATAACACTTGCATAACCTAAAAAATACAGTGCCATTTAGGAAGTCCACACTGGTAATCTGGAAATAAGCACAATTTCAGAACTTCTTTTCAAATGTAACGAAATGTTCCGAATTGATCATGTGACTCTTCTGAATGGCACAGTACAGGAAAGAGAGAAAGCGAGAGAAACCGAAGCAGATCGTGCAAAGCAAAGCTGTGCATGGTCGTCATGGTTACAACTTACATGGCTGTTGAGCAGTGAACTTCTCTGACTGGACAAACCTTCAGACTTTTGGAGCGTCTCAATCGCCATTTCAATCTGATAGACCAAAGAGCAAAAGAATAAAGGAGAACAAAAACAAAAAGGGGGGGAAATAAATCAAATGAAGGCTGTAGCGACAAAGAGCTGCACTGACACCAGAGATGAACAGCAGAAATAGACCCGACTAAAGCATCCCAGCCACCAAAACCACACACTACAGCCCAGCACCGCGGATATAATAATGCTCAAGCTTTTGTAAACTTTCATTCAGAACTGAGCAAAGCGTTTATGAACAAACCCTACCATAATAGGTCCGGAATCGTCTAAGAAAGCTTTCCGCGAGCAACATTACATTGACAATGAGACCAATTAGTCCGAAATTAAAGGTAATTCACTGCTGGCTTTTAATAAAACTTGGCTTCTACATGACTATAGAAAAATGAGTGCGGTGTTTAATTTAACCAAAAAGGTAGGAAAACCACATCACCCATAATGCACTACTAGACTTGCTCCAACTATCTCTGAATGGGGATACAGAAATGCAGAAGCATGATCTGTAGTTTTCACAAAAGCATGCATTTTATGTCTTTGTTTGTTTACATATAGTACTGACCGACGTGACCGTGCAAAAACAAAAAGCGGGCGGAAAATCAAAAGGTTACCCTTTAATGATGCTCGACATTGACACTACCCTTTATTTAACATCTAATTTTAAAGTAAATCTGTGCCAAAACCTAATGAGCTGCCTACATAGGGAATATTTTAAGATCTCACATAAGTGCACCTGACATAAAGGCTTCTCTAAAAGGTAGGCATGTTTATCAGTTTTACTGCCTTGTTTTGCATTTGCACTGCATGTGTTTATTTATATCAGTAAATAGTCCAATCGAACTAAAAATGAAAAATGTTACGTAGTATTTGTGCATGCGGTTCTTTTAGGACATTGCTATCCAACGGCTTTTTAACGTAAGAGTGGGTTGCTACCATTTGCAGTTTCCAGTGTAAGTCACTTCTAGTTATTTTTGTCAAATAAAAACAGTATGTTATGCTGCTTGATGTTGCAAACTGATATTTGTTATCATATTATTTTCATTTATTATCATAATCATGAACGCACTGGTTTGTAGTGCAAATAGTGCACTTTGTTATTCCTCTAGTTATTTAATAACAGTAGCTAATCAATCAATCGTAAGCTCTGCACATTCACAGAAAATAGTGTACTTCTGCATTGCAAAACCCAATTTTGGAATCTTTATTTTTAAGAGCATAGCATAGTAGTAGAAAGCTCACAACATTTTGGAACAGACCCATTATCACGAAATATGTTGATTTACTTTAATAGGTAACAGCTTATATGTGTCCCTGCAGCACAAAAGCAGTGTTAAGTCGCTGGGGTATATTTGTAGCAATAGCCAACAATACATTGTATGGGTCAAAATTATAGATTTCTCTTTTATGCCAAAAATCATTAGGATATTAAGTAAAGATCATGTTCCATGAAGATATTTTGCAAATTTCCTACCGTAAATATATCAAAACTTAATTTTTGATTAGTAATATGCATTGCTAAGAACTTAATTTGGATAACTTTAAAGATGATTTTCTCAATATTTAGATTTTTTTGCACCCTCAGATTCCTGATTTCCAAATATTGTCCGATCCTAACAAACCATACATCAATGGAAAGATTATTCGTTCAGCTTTCAGATAGATGTATAAATCTCAATTTTGAAAAATTCACACTTTTTCCTGGAGTTTTGTGCTCCAGGGTCACATATAATTGTACAAATTGACAATTAATTTTAATTAATAAATTAGATTGAAGCATTTGATTTTGAAGTGTGTTTTAGGCTCTCATAGATGGCTCTCATTAAAAATGACCCAGAGGAAAATATTAGCTCTTAATTTCTAAAAATCAGTTTTTGGCTTTAATCATTATCAGAGTAAGTTCAGTATGTTTTTGAACACTCAAACACTGGGAATGATGTGTGCGTCTGTGATTGGAGCTCACCGTGGCGGGGGAGGCTCTAGTGGTCTGAGCCGCACTGTGAGGGGCGGAGCCATCCATGGAGTTTCCTCCAATCAGATACGCTCCTGAGCTGCTGATGATCTGGCCTCCTGACAGCCCCATGGCCAGAACGCCGTTCCCGTTGTTGGCCATGCTGTGAGTGCTCACCTGAGCCGAGCTGCCCTGCGTATCGAAGTAGTTCCCGCCGCTGTTCTGGTTGTACAGCTGCGGCTCGGAGTATGAATACGCCCGTCTGCCGACAAAACAAGAGTGCTTCAGATACGGCTGCCAGCTGTTTTTTCACTCAAATGAGTTGTGACATTATATCAGTGCACACGCTTTTCTTTAATTGACTTGAGAAACATAAGTCGTGTCTTGATGGGTTCGCATCCTTTCAGCTTCAGGTGAGAGTGCTGTTTCCATGGATACACAAATCACCAAAGCATAACTATTTTATAGAGAACATTGCTTCTGATTGCATTTCTGATATGTGCTTTCTCCTCATCTTATGACATTTTATTTATAATAGCCAATTTAAAAGATCTTAGCCTCTTGCTGAGTGAATTTCTAAATATGAGTGATCCAAATGTTGCCGAGAGAGAAAGCAGACAGAAGCACTTGGGAGAGTTTCAGGTGACCTGCGCTGAGGGTGAATGTATGGAAGTGTTTATCTTCTGTAAAAAGCATACAATCCCAGAGTGCTCTTGTCCCTCTTACGCCGGGCACTCATGGATACTTGTGGTCATTTCCAGGTGACTGAACACAATTCTCACACTGATGCTTGAGTCGATCAGAGGCAGCATGTTTCAGTGACAGGACAGAGCTGGAGTGCGCTAAATCAGTTTTTTGCTACTAAACACAATCACGCGACTTTGTCACAATCATGTAACCCTTGTTCGGTTTCATCTACGACAGTACGAGGGACTAATTCTGATGGTGTCCTAAAGCACTTGTCAACATGTGCGCTTATTACAAAGCCACGGTTTTGAGATGCATCTTAAAAATCACATCAGAGAGCATGTATGTATTCACGCCTCATAAAAACACTCACATGGTTCCATTGGTGTAAACGGCGTTGTTTTCCTCCTGAACGTACTGCACCTGTGCTTGATACACATGCTGGACCTGTTGAACAGTCTGCGCCTGAAACACACGACACAATTACACCGACAATATGGACCTAAAACTGTATCACGATATTTTCTGGTATTTATTGCGATAATATCAATGACGATATAAATACAGTACAGTTCACCACAGTTTTTGGCTATAAGTGATCGCTGCATGCAGTGAGAGCATCAGACACACAAACACTGACCTAAAAGTAAAACTTACCCATCATCAAATATGCTCCTAAAATACACCAATTACATAAAAGAATAAAACCTTAGGTCTACTTGACGTTGGTGTCTCTGTCTCCTCGTGCATCTTCAGACTTTGTGCTTGTGTTTGAGATGGTGGAACAAATTGGAAGTGTTTATATAATAATAATTATATTTTAAAGAAAACGGCAGGGTGGCCTGTTAACATGCAGGGGGCCTATAACTATTATAAATCATTAGAAAGGTTTAAGGTTTTATTATAAAACATTAAATTATTATGATAAAAATCTGTGACAGTAATTTCTTAATTCAGGAAATCTCATGCATCCACTGAGACACACACACACAAAAAAAACATGTACTTTTCTCTACACTTGAGAAAAACGTATGGATTTGCATATGTTTACTTCAAATTTCTTTAGAGGGAAGTATTTTTCTTATCTTTATCCAAAATATATTATGAGCATTATTGAGTACACGCATGTCATGTAATGTCTGTTTCATTCATACAGAAGTAATAGAACTCACGACGCTCCAGGAAATCCCTTATATGGACAAAAGTGTCCAGCTATCGCTGTTACTGAATTAAAAGAAGATAGAAACGCTTGAACGGATTAATTATTATTTCTGCCTCATTCTGTCATATGAAACCACGTTATATCACAAAAAAGAAGTTATTTCAAACACTCTGGAGTAAAAACTAATGTGTGGCACACAGAAATATGTCATCAACTAGGCTTTATCGTTATTATCGTGGGAAGACTAATTCTTATCGCAGGGAGAATTTCTGCCAGTATATCGCACATCCCTACTCCCATCTCCATAAAGACTGGAGAACATATAAATAAGTGGTTTCAGTAGCAGCTTTGCAAGCTGATAGTAAAGCAAACAACAGTATGTTAGATTTACCATGCTTTCACCGAGATTCAAACAGAAAAACGCATATAGTATATAGGGTTCTCAGAAGCTGAAGTCATCATAGTTGGTTAAACTTCTGTAATGGTAAATGGAAAGTACAACAAATAAATTGTTTGTGTTCCCATTTGCCCCAACAAAAAAAAAAATCCACAGTAGCATTTCTTTGACTACAAAAGTGGAAAAAAATATATCAAGAGATTAAGTTGATCAAAAGAAAGATGTCAAATTTGCAGTTTGTATTAGAAACACCCACACTATTTAATGCCAAAGTAATAAAACACAAACTATAGTGTTATGAATGCACATAAAATATTAAAAAAAGGAAAATATAACCAGATTTAAAATGTTAATAACTGGAAACGTCTTTAAAGTCTGTAAAAAGGATCCATAAACTCTCAAAAGAATTACTGACTGATTTTTCTTTTATAAATACAATTTAGGCAAAACTTTTCTGGCTTTTTTTAAATTAAAATACAGTTTTTAAATTGAAAAAAAAAACAACTCTAAGATGCAGTAAGTGAGTCATTCATTAGACTGATTTAAACTTATGAGTTTGATTCTTTTCGACTGATTCATTACAAGCACGGCTCATTCATTCGTGAACTGGATTACACTTGTCTCATATGTTTGTTGTTGATTCCTGCTAACAAATACAATAGAGATGTGGAATAGTTCACCCAAAAATGACAATTTGCTGAAAATGATCCACAATATTATGGAGAGAGGACACTTATTTTAGCCAGAAGCAACGTCTTGATGGATTTGTTTCAGCTTTTGTCTTCTCCAGATGTTAACTGATGGACTGGAGTGCTGTGGATCACTTGTGGATTATTGTGATGTTTTTATCAGCTGTTTGGACTCTCATTCTGACGGCACCCATTCACTGCAGAGCATCCATTGCTGAGACACTGATGCAATGCTACATTTCTACAAACCTGATGAAGAAACAAACTCATCCTAATCTCGGATGATCCTGAGGATGAGCACATTTTCAGCAGATTTTAATTTTTGGGTGAACTATAACACCATGTCCTAACTACATGCGACGTGACACCGCGACATGCGTCAAAGGGTATTTTCCATGTTAATCTGTTTTTGTCCTAACCAGCCGCAACAGCGACACGCGGCAATTCTATTTTAGAAACGTTATCTATTTTTCATCGACGTCGCGGCTGGAACAACACCACAGAGTATGGCAATGGTAATCTCAGGTACTGTTTATGTGCTTAGGGGATAGCTCACCCAAAAATGAAAACTCTGTTATTAATTACTCACCCTCATGTTGTTCCAAACCCGTAAGACCATCGTTTATCTTCATAGACCGCGACGGATCTACCATGTTCAAGAAGGTAGTAAAGACATCGTTAAAATAGTCCATGTGACATCAGTGGTTCAACCACAATGTTATGAAGCTACGAGAATACTTTTTGTGCGCAAAGAAAACAAAAATAACGACTTTATTCAACAATTTCTTCTCTTGCGTGTCAGTCTCCGCCGCACTACAAGTAATTGTTGAATAAAGTCATTATTTTTGTGATTCCACTGATGTCACATGGACTATTTTATAGATGACCTCATTGCCTTTCTGGTCCTTGAACGTTTCACTTGTGTTGCTGTCAATGCAGGGTCAAAGTTGCGAATTTAACTCATGCGCAAAACTGGAATATCGCATAAAACATTTGCAAACAAGCATCGTTTCCATCCAACAAGTCAAAGAGAACAAAATCGTCACTTCCTGATAAACTGGCACTATAAATCACTAAGAAAAGTAGGAGAATATAATAATTTTCATATATAATAAATTACTTGCGGCTCAGACCGAGCAGACGAAACACAATGAATGCGGTCATTGCTTTCGGAGGTGGATGCTGCTGTTTGGGAACGCAGTCGTGTAAGACATTTCTGGGAGGCAATTATATAGAAATACTTTGATGACAGACTTTGCTCGTGCATTTCCGAATGACCATAACAACATTTCAGATGCTGTGGAATGAGATCGGTCCGCTGGTTAGTCAGGCTTTTCCGTCCTATAGCGCAAAGTCACATTAATTTTTTGATGCGCTTGGAGGAATTTATTCGCAAAATGCATTTCCATCCCCCATTATTCGCATCAACCCTTTTTCGCACAAGTCAAAAACCACAAGCGAGTGTAAAAACTTTTTTGCAAATTAAGGGATTTTTATTTGAAATTTGGTGTTTCCATCACTCGTTTCTCATGCGATACTTCAAAATGTGCATTAAAATAGGGCGATGGAAACATAGCTATATTCACGTCGTGTCTGGTGTGGACAGACGAACTGCTTGTTGTTAGAATCGTATCGCATTGCGTTTGGTTAGGACACGGTGTGATGGTTTTTAGACACACATGGGCTCACCTGTTGCTGGACTGGCACCTGAGACGCCACCTGCTGGGCACTGACCGCAGACGGCACAGGCACGCTGGTCTGGAGGGGCACGTTGGACGTGGAGTCCGCGCCTGCCTCTGGGGTCTGCATGGCGCCTTGGAGACACAAAATCACCATCATTGACAAATGCTGTGCCTAATTAAACGCTTCAATCAGTAGTAATAGTGATGCTCATCTTGCAAACGCTACTAATAAGCCTTATCATACTAACACTTAAAAAAAAAAACCCTGAGAATTCTTAACTAAACCGAATTAAAGAATGTTTTTTTTATCCGTCTTGGGTCACTTCCTGTCCTCTGCAGGGTGTGATTGTGCTTGCATAGACACACAGCGGTGATGTGGACGGGATCTGTGTGTCAATGAGTGGAGATCGCTGCCTGTACCCAAAGCAATAAATGCAGTTAATATTTAATCGTCTCGGCTGGCTTCTCTCCGCTCACGCTTTAAACCGATGAGATCTCAACAGCAACAGCTCACTGCTAACGTTCCTCCTGAATTCAGTATTGCTGAAATCATTCATGTAAGAAAACATGTACGTCAGAATGGTTTGCATTGGTTTTTCTTGCTCCCGCTGCATGCGAGCCGTAATGCGGCATGTAAACAAGCCGTGTTTGAGCAGCGGCGCTCGACCGTACACGCAGCCCAAGGCTTCTTAGCCGCAAAAGTTTCCATGATCAGGTCTCTCCAGGTTAATTACCCTCGTGCCTCCTGACAGCCGAGCATCTCTCCCCAGAGGCTCCCTGCCACCTCCTCTTCCTCTGTTCCTCATTTACCTGAAGGGTGCAGGTGGTGTTGTGTTCAGTTCACCTCCCCCTCAGCCCTAAACGTCTGATTACCCAGCATTCCTTTTCCTGCCTCACACATAATCACGGCCATTTCCAATGCACACGCTAATGATTCAACAGGCTTCATCCAGAACCCGCTTAAACTATTCAGAGATAGCATTCTAGCATTAACGTTTATGCCAGACAGTGTGGATAGACATCGATTTTGTTTATTGGCACCGCTTTTAAAACATCTTATGGCTCCAAACTAGATGACTGTGTCTTAATTGGATTTTTTTCATTTTTATACCAAAATCCTACATTAAACAGACTTACATTCGAATTAAAATCCAATTTAAACTCTTCTTGGCAAACGCTACAAATATGTCCTCCGAAATGCTACAACAGATGTGGATTTGTAGTGTAAACACGCATAAAACCCTCATCCTGTTTATAAATATGCTAACAAATCAGACACATATTGAATGCATTGTGACAAATGACAATCGCTAGTTTATTACTTTCTGGTGTCCTTAATCTCTATAACATCAGATTCAAGGAAAGAAAATATGGTAAATGCAAATGATACAATCCATTTGTGCACTTAAGTGATGTCCGGTCAAATTATGCTATTTCAGCACACATTCATCTTGGACACTTGATAAATTAGATGCAGAAACAGATGTTTATGTCCTATAAAACATGGACGGGTTGTGTGACATGCCCTCATCTTAGCCTAAAAATCACAAACAAAACTACACAAGGTGAAAGAAAATCCAGCCCTGACTACATTAAATACAGATTCACTCGCAACAAGGATTAACAGCTATGCATTTTGCACAGCAAATTACTGACTGCGAAGAGCACTTTAAAAACTTTTAAAGACATTTAGAAATCAAATACTCAAACTATGTGCCAGTGTGGAAAAAATAAGACAATGTTAATAATTTAGTTTACCGTGTATGCAGTTCATGGAAATAATACATTCCATTGTTTGATTTTTATATATACTTTTGTTTATTTTGGTAAATAACCAATTGATAAATAATTGTGGCACTTGATGTCCAATGTCTTGAAGCACTGCTCTATATTGTCTTAAGTAACCCCACCTGCTCCCTGTGGCCGTGCATAAACAGGCACCTGTCTGATCCCTCTTCCACCCCCCCGCCCCAGCTGACTTCACCTCCTCTCATTCATCCGCTCCCCTGTGGGCCACTTAAACCCAGAGCTCCACTGAGCAACTGCAGCCTCAAAAGCCGAAGGGTAACAAAGGCCCAAGAGGAGGGCAACACTTGCTGTCTCTCTACCCCCACGGCCCTGAATCTGCCCCGGCACGGAGTGAGGGGTCAAATGCGCTTTTGGGACGCCATACATAATATTGGCCAGTAATGTTTGAGTCTCATTTGGAATCATTAAATTGTACATGCATATACACTCTTAAAACCAAAGGTTACAACAGGGTTTTTGCAACAGTGCCACAGAAAGAACCATTTTTGGTTCCCCAAAGAACTATCTAGTTGTCAGCTCTAAAGAACCGTTTGCGGAATGGAAAGATTCCATGGTTCTTCATTGCACCTTCAATGCCATTAAACAACCTTTATTTTTTATTTTTTCAGAGTGCACTGGCTATCTCAAGACATTGGAATCGGCCATTAAAAAAACACCACTTAAAAATAAAGGTTCTTTTTGGCATTGACGGTTCCATGAAAAACCTTTAACATCCATTGACTTTGTAGTGGAAGAAGGTTCTTTAGATTAATAAAGATTATAAAAATGGTTCTTTTAAGAACTGTTCACTGAAAAGGGAACCAAAAATGGTTCTTCTATTGCATAGCGACAAAACCCCCCTTTTGGATCCTTTATTTTTAAGAGCGTGGCCAAAAAAACGAATCCACCGCGCCAAATGAGCTTGAACCGAAAATGACCAGAATACAGTAACAATCAATAAAACAAAGACATCTGAAGTGATTTCAGTAGCTGATGTATATTTAGCATTGCCAGGGGTGGCTTAGATTAAAAACACTAAAATAAAGAGTCTTGATTAATGTTAATTAAAAAAAAAAAACTATTGTAGATGCTCTGAAACATTTTTTCCGAGCAGCATCCGCCCACACGCTCGTGAGCTATGAAGCTCAAAGGGTTTAGCTTGAAATGAAATGGATATGAATTATTTACTCAATCAGTATCTCTTAAAGAGATTGGAAAGGCAACGGGATACTGCAGACAGGTGGCACGGCCCCGTTTCAACTCTACACCTGACTGTAGATAAGTGGTAACGTGAGCTGATAACTAGCGCTTTCTGACATCTTGTCCTCTCGGTTTGGCCATTAACGGACTAGCGGGGGGGAAGGAAACGTCAGAAAATAAACCTAAAACACTGGACCCGAGAGAAACACCTGGAATAACATGATCAGCTTCATTAGATTGCTTTCCGAGAAAAAATACTCTGAAAATTCTTTGAAGCACCATATAGCTTTTTTTAATGAAAATCACTATTAATTTCCACAATATCAAAGGTTGCATTTCTATCGGGTCGTCAGTGAAGCAGGTTGGATGGAGTGATATCCCATGCTGCCTCTCTCCACTGACCACATGTCAGGTCTTCTCCGGCATCTCATGGCACACACCTGTTCCTCAGCCTATAATGAAGACAACAGGGGAAGCAAGACGCTACTTCATCTCACAGAGGACCCTGATGCAACTCTAGGAAACCCTCTGCGATTTGTTTAGACGATGTGACTCGCGCAGCGAACCTGGAATACGTGAGGATCGCTTGCATTTCTGCATCCATCGTCAGCCGCTGCGCCAAGAGACCACAAACACATGTTGCTAAAACTGACACGCTCTTTCAGCGGTTACAGACTAATGGGAACTGCCAAGCAGAAGTTTAGTTGGTGCATCTTAAGACTGTGTCAGTGGCAGTCAATACGTCAAAAAAGACTTGAGAAGCTCATCCATAGGTCATCACTCTTTGCAAATGTCAGGAAGCCTATCCTTTGAAGCTGCACTGAAACTGCGATTTGGACCTTCAGCACATTGGTCCCCATTGAAGTCCATTATATGGAGAAAAGTCCTGGAATGTTTTCCTCAAAAACCTTAATTTCTTTGTGACTGAAGACAGAAAGACATGAACATCTTGGATGACATGTGGCTGAGTAAATCATCAGGAGATTTTTATTCTGGAAGTTAACTAATCCTTTAAATTATGACGATAATATAAAAAAGTCCGGACCAACTGAGCAATTTTGACAGCATTCATCAGCGATATGATTTGGGACGCATCTTCAATCCCATGAGCTTCCCTGCACTTCCTCATTTAGCATAAAGCCATGCAACCAGACAAACTACAAATTATAATATCAAAAGCAGCTGCTGGCTGCTGGTGATGGTTTGATTCAACACATGACATAGACACTAATTAGTCAATGAATGTGATTCTGAGCTTATAAACGGTGTGCAAATAACCAGTGTGATCTCTATCTAGACAGAGATACTCACTACTTGACAGCTCCCAAAAATGAGGTCCAGATAGCCAGCCCACGAGTTTTTGTTCACGGGTGCCTCTGGTGCCCTATGTAGGCAGCACACTAGGTTTTGTTCACGGATGCCTCTGGTGCCCTATGTAGGCAGCACACTAGGTTTTGAGACACGGCCACAGAGGCTGAGGGCCAATAGCTTAGCAAGAGTAACTCCTGCTTTATAACAATAGAAGACAGATAGATCATCTACATGTGCGGCATTATATCACACAGAAGCACACTTAAAATCCTCCAGCAGCATTTATCAGCCAAAAACAAACACACAAACACTTTGGTGAAGAGAAATTCGTTGTTTCATTACAAATGAGAATGAGGCTAATGATAATGCAACACCGAGCTATTGAAATGACTCAAATATGCATGTTTAATACAACTAAAGCGCGTTTAACGACTAGAAACATGAAAATACATACAAAACGCTGTGATTTTGAACGCAAACTAATAAACAATCGCTTCAATCGTTCTCACGATGCTAACGCTAGCCGCTTAGCAACACCTGCTTCGTGAGAAAACGATGCGGCGCTTCGATAAAACACCGTTTTCATCGCGTTTTCTGCGTTTTGGTCTCACAAACGCTATTCGTAAACACTATTCAGACCGCGACAGATGTCGTTTGCTCTTTAGGTTTAATGAGTGAAAGCAGATGGGAAGAGAAACATCTGGACGCGCCGCATCGATAGAAGCAGAATGACAAGAGTAACTCCTGCTTTATAACAATAGAAGACAGATAGATAATCTACATGTGCGGCATTATATCACACAGAAGCACACTTAAAATCCTCCAGCAGCATTTATCAGCCAAAAACAAATACACAAACACTTTGGTGAAGAGAAATTCGTTGTTTCATTACAAATGAGAATGAGGCTAATGATAATGCAACACCGAGCTATTGAAATGACTCAAATATGCATGTTTAATACAACTAAAGCGCGTTTAACGACTAGAAACATGAAAATACATACAAAACGCTGTGATTTTGAACGCAAACTAATAAACAATCGCTTCAATCGTTCTCACGATGCTAACGCTAGCCGCTTAGCAACACCTGCTTCGTGAGAAAACGATGCGGCGCTTCGATAAAACACCGTTTTCATCGCGTTTTCTGCGTTTTGGTCTCACAAACGCTATTCGTAAACACTATTCAGACCGCGACAGATGTCGTTTGCTCTTTAGGTTTAATGAGTGAAAGCAGATGGGAAGAGAAACATCTGGACGCGCCGCATCGATAGAAGCAGAATGAAGCGTCGGAGAAAGAAGCAGCATCTCAAAGCCAGCAGATCGACACCGATAAAACCTTCACAACACACAAGCCCTTTATATTTACTCTGATCATCACATAGAAACGGAAAGCCACGAGCATTATGCAGCGGTTAAACACTGAGCGTATGTATAAGCGAGCGGCTAATATGGAAATATTCACCTGGACTAGTGTGTGGATGTGGATGAGGATGAGGATGGTAGGAAGGTGGTGGTAAGGATGGAGCGGAGAGGAGGAGGTTGTTGTTGTTATTGTTGGTGGGTTACAGTCGCCAGGACTACGGTGACTATGGCGCTGCAGCTCAGGGCAACGGTTGCTATAAAGCTCGCCGCGCAAACAAACTTGACGCTGCGGAGTGAGGCGGAGCCTACAGCGGTGAGCATATAAAGCTCAGCGCGCAACCAAACATGACGCTGTGTGAAAAGGGCGGGGCCACTGACGGCTGCGCTAGAACTCCGTTCAACCGACCTGGAAAGAGGGCGGAGTCAGTGTGTTAACAGCGTATTACATGTAATCTGGATGACGTAATCAGATTCCAAAAATGAAGTACTTGTAATTAGATTAAATTACATTTTTGTAAAAACTCGTAATCAGACTACAGTTACTTTTTTTTATTGATTACATGATTGCGTATTATTCACACAATAGCAATAAATTATTCATAATTTACTGATTCTCCCCAATTCCTCCACATTCAGAAAGTCTTACAGTTTTGTGGACATTCACACAAAGACAAAAAAAAAACAAAAGACCAGTCACTAGTCAGGTGGCTATTATTACACACAACATTGAGAGGCCACACAGCACTTGCCCACTGGACTTACGAAAATAATTTACATTTTAAGAAGTGTTTTCTTAGCATCAACTACTAATGAACAATTTTTATTTGAATTATCACTCAGAAGGCTATTTAACCGTGTGTTACTGTGTCTTTGGAAGGCTTTTCTTCTTTCAAACACATTAAAATGCACAAATTCACGTTATTTCTTATTTACATGTAATGCAGGGATTCCCAAACTTTTTTGTCAGCCGAATCTCATTCACAGAATGTTTATTTGAATCCTCCCCTGAGATTTTAAGGTAATAAGTTAATAATTAAGTAATGCATTTGCATGTTCACAGTTCTGTGGCATTGGTTAATAGTCACATGACATGCAGGTAAGCAAATATTAATTTTTTTTAGTAAGCGCTTTATTTTAATTGTCGTAATTTTAAAATGTATTAATTTTAATTTGACATTTTTATGTTTTAATTAAGTATTAGCGTTTCATTAAACTCACGACCCCCCTGGAATTCCTTCACAAACTCCAGTTTACGTAATGTTTAATGCACTTCATTATGTTATTAACAACAAATGTAATATCTTTTCTTTTTCTCTGCATTTTTATATCAGTATGGTACAAGATTATCCTATTTAAATCAATACGAGAAACAAGTTAGGTCAAAAGTGATCCGATTATTTTACCTAAAATGTGTATTGTAATGGATCACGTTACTAACTACAATTTTTGTCATGTAATTTGGAATCGGTAACGGATTACAATTTTCAAGCAATCTACCCAGCTGTGTGTATTAATGTGTCTTGTGTGTCTTTATTTGCCTAATCAAGTACAATTATTAACATTTCCTGTGTTATCATAAAATCTGATACTACTAACGCAAACGTGTATTGTAAAAAGTAATATTGTGGGCTGTTCACACACTGTATGTAATGCACCAATCGGATGAGCCCGTCACCTTGTGGGCGGGGCTTTCCAAAGCATCTCTGGTTGAGATGAAAGAGAAAGGCGGGACTGATGCGCCAAACCACTTTCTCTTGTAATTAAGTGTTGAATTCTGACCACATCTGCTGAATAAAGAGAACCAGATGAGTTTATTTAATAACTCCAATTGGTACTCTTAATTACTTTTTAAAACAGATGTTTTTTTTTGTTTTGTTTTTTTCAAACTTTCAAACATGTATATTTTCCAAACATGTTAACAGATAGATTGCTCTAGATTAGATCATAGCAACAGTGTATTAAAGAAAAAGCAATACATTGTATTAATGTGATTTTTTTTTTTCAGTCAACATTCTGGTCTGTGTTATGAAGGAATTTATCCAAAAATAAAATACTCCACTACTGCTGTCAATGATCAGCAATTAAAAGGTGTTCACACACAAACTGGACGAGGATATGTAAACCTTAAAGGCAATTCATGTTCATAGATGATTTTAAGTCTGTAAAACATTACAAACATATATTTTATGTATAAATATTTACATCAATATGGCTATAATCTGTGATAAGTGCATTATTTTTGCTTATTCATGAACTATTTACTGTACATATAGTGGCCCCCAAAAATATTTGTATACTTCAAATATCAAAGCATGTCATTTATTGTAACGAAAGATGCACAAACACTCTTTTTAAAGGAACAGTTCACCCAAAAATCTGCCATGCCTTCTATGATGTAGATGAGTTTGTTTCTTCATCAGGTTTGTAGAAATGCAGCATTGCATCAGTGTCTCAGCAATGGATGCTCTGCAGTGAATGGGTGCCGTCAGAATGAGAGCTGATAAAAACATCACAATAATCCACAAGTAATCCACAGCACTCCAGTCCATCAGTTAACATCTGGAGAACACAAAACCTGAAACAAATCCAGCATTAAGACCTTTTTAACGTTCATAATCGTTCATAATCCATAATAACGCTTCCTCCAGTGAAAAAGTGTTCTGGTGTGAATCAGGAGAGAAATCTGCACAGATCAAGCACCGTTTAAACAGTCCAAAACAGCACTAAACAGATATGTGGGTGGATTTTGATGTGAGAGACAACAGGAGATGCACTTTTTCACTGGAGGAAGCGTTATCATGGATTATTAACTTGTATTTTAGCCAAAAGCGACGGTTTGAAGTTAAAAACGTCTTAATGCTGGATTAGTTTCAGCTTTTGTCTTCTCTAGATGTTAACTGATGGACTGGAGTGCTGTGGATTACTTGTGGATTATTGTGATGTTTTTATCAGCTGTTTGGACTCTCATTCTGACGGCACCCATTCACTTGCAGTGAGACACTGATGCAATGCTGCATTTCTCCAAACCTGATGAAGAAACAAACTCATCCTGATCTTGGATGGCACATTTTCAGCAAATATTCATTTTTGGGTGAACGATTCCTATAAGCTAAACATTTGGCAAAATTAAGTTTGTCTGGTTTGGAATAAAGTTTTGTGGTCAACTTGAGGTTGACAAACAGTCACTGAGTTAAAAAAAAAAAAAGAAGATCCGTCAGGGTTTGAGGTGCACAGATACAAACACTTGCTTCAATATTTTATCCAATGAAGGCTTAATGTGGCTTAAACGTCCAAATACTTCAGGGCATCTGTGCTTATACAGTGTATAAAAAATCCATTAGGAGTCCACGAGGAAAGTCCTTCCAAAAAACTACCTCAATGATTTAAACAACCCAAGTGAGTTTGATGAGATCCACTGTAGGGAAATATGTGTTCACCCTTCAGTAAAGACACATGAGATCCGGCTCGGGCTTCTCTCCACACTACGGATGTGAAGGTAATTGTCCTCCGGCACCGAAGGAACCTGCTCTCCCAGAAACTCTTCCGGTCCGGTTTGGCAGTCGAACACTGCTGTCACAAACACACAGAACCATAAGCATGCTAGTTTCTGCAACGCACACCAGGCTGATTTATAGTATCTGTCTGTGTTTTTACCAGCGATGCCTGACAGAGTTGTGTGCAGCAGGTCTGAGGAGCCCAGATTGTCCTCAAACATGGGCATCTGCATCATGGAACAGGGAGCAATGTGTTTGGCAGCCTGCGGTGGGTCACCGTATGAAAACACGGTCTGGGCATCAGCAGAGAAACCTGACGGTGTTAATGCAAAAAAATCAACAACAACATTACGCCATTTGATTATTCACAACACCAAATGACATTATAATCTGCTGTAATCCAACTACTGCGTCCTTCATTTATTAGATTCCAGGCTTGAATGATGTCTCCTCAGGGCGACATTTGAGCTTGGGAGAACTTTAAACAATCTGTATGATGAGATTAGACGTGCATCTATTTTTGACTTCGCCTGACAGACTGCCATCTGTTGCTCTAAGAGTGGAAGGATCAGTTTGTGAATCATTCAGTGCTGATCAGTTTGTTCTCCGCTTACAGTCACATCTTAAATATGCATTTTGCATCTGCTTACTGCATATGTGGCTTGTATGTAAATGTCCTTATGTGTAGTGTTGGATGCCACACACATGTGCTGCCTATTAGTGTTGCTAGGGTGGTGTTATCTGGTTGCTAGGACGGCTGCTAGGTTTTCTTTTGCTGCACAATTAATCTAAATAAAAACTCAAATCACAGTATGGCTTAGTGCGATTATAACACAACGTGAAATGTGACAAGTTCCATTAATATTGTTATTTTACATTTGTAATCTGAAATTAAATCAGTCAGGAAAATGTTGCTTTCTGTCTTTCTCTATAATATTTTATTTTATTAAAAAGAAAAGAAAAAATACATATGCTGTCTGTGTGTGTATATATATATATATATATATACATTTTAAATTACGCTTTTTATCAGAAAAAAATGTGTATGTAGGTGGTTGTAAACAGGTTGCTTTACAAAGTTTGTAAAAAGTTCACTTAATGCAAAAATCAGTCAACAAAAGTTTGATGGTTTAACATTTGAAAATAAAGCCATTAAGACATCCATAAAAATTCATATTGTAACTTTACAGCTGTAATGCAAAATTTATTTTAGTATAATTAATAATAATATTTTTCTTAAATATAATTTTTTTTACGGTAAAATATTACAATAGCATTTTTTTCACTGTAATATTGTAGTAGTACAATAGTAATATTTCCTATTTAGTTTTTAAATAATTTTAGTATTTTTATTTAATAGTTATAATACTATTACTGATAAAAATATTATTATTTATTATTAATATTTTATCACCATATTTATATAGAATCATAACATTTTGGCCAGTATCTTTTTTTTTTTTTTTAATCTGCTCAATTTTAATTTACAATTTTATCAGCAAAATTGCAATTTATGAATTTTTTTCTTACCAAATTGTGCAGCTGTAGTGTTCTGGTACGCTGCTGTAGTTTTTGTAAACTGGTTGTGGAAACTTAATTTGAGGGATATTTTCCTTACTTTAATTTACAACATCGTCATACCTTTTGCATGAAATAGAATAGATAAGGATATAAAGGAAAACAGGGACGTACTGTCAGGGTGGGATGTCCTGGGATGGCTGGGGTATCTGGGTAGTTTGTGAGTGTTTTGGCCCAGTGTGTGGTGAGATGACAGGAGCGCTGAAGGGCCCGGGGACACCTGATGTGATACAGGAACCCTGAGCCTGAGAAATGAGATGCTTATCTGCTCAATTTTAATTTACAATTTTATCAGCAAAATTGCAATTTATGAATTTTTTTCTTACCAAATTGTGCAGCTGTAGTGTTCTGGTACGCTGCTGTAGTTTTTGTAAACTGGTTGTGGAAACTTAATTTGAGGGATATTTTCCTTACTTTAATTTACAACATCGTCATACCTTTTGCATGAAATAGAATAGATAAGGATATAAAGGAAAACAGGGACGTACTGTCAGGGTGGGATGTCCTGGGATGGCTGGGGTATCTGGGTAGTTTGTGAGTGTTTTGGCCCAGTGTGTGGTGAGATGACAGGAGCGCTGAAGGGCCCGGGGACACCTGATGTGATACAGGAACCCTGAGCCTGAGAAATGAGATGCTTTTACAATAATAAATCATATATATATTAAATCTAGGCAGTGGGTTAATGCATTTTTACAGTACAGTAGTTCAGTCAAAAATGAAAATTGTCATCGTTTACTCCTTATATTTTGTTCCAGACGTTTTCCTATAATTAAAGTGTTTATTCAGTAGTATATCCTAACCCAACTGTTATGATTACTATCATGTTACTGTGTACAGAAGACAATAGTGTCAATATTCAGTTTAGTTCAAGTTTGTTCACATCTGATCAGTGCAGATATTAATATTGAATATTAAGTGTCTTTTAAACCTCAACTAAGCAAGCCAAAGGCGACAGCAGCAAGGAACCCAAACTCCATCAGGTGACAGAAATGGAAAAAAAAAACTTGGGAGAAACCAGGCTTAGTTGCTGAAGTAGTCTCAATGAACGAACACGGTGTGATTTATGATACTATACTACATCTCAAGTCAGATTTGTGAACTGATAATATTTTTGCATGCAGCTCAGAAATAACAGCATGAATGTTTCATTTGAACAAGTATGGGTTGACAACGAGTGATGAAATGCATTTTTAAATTTAATTTTATAATGTTTGCACCTGAGGTGCACTTATAATCTCAGTATGTTTTTTTTTTTGTTTTTTTTTCATCAAAAACGGTCATAATTTAGATATAAATGGTAATTTTCCTGAATTTAGTCTCTTTTTGAGATTTGAGATTTGAAGGCTCTGTTGGAAGGGGCGTGTCTGCTGTTAGACTTCAAATGAAACTCCCACTGCTATGATTGGCTAACATCTTTGCATATGAAATGAGCATTTACATGTGGAACTCTGCGGAAACTTTTACTGTTTTTACTTCAACAGCCGCCAAGATGAACTATTGATTCATTTGGCGCTTGAGAGTCTACTGTAGTGATTCATTTGGAGCCCGAATCTGTGCAGTAGTGATTCATTTGGAGCCCGAGTCTGTGCAGTAGTGATTCATTTGGAGCCTGAGTCTGCGCAGTAGTGATTCGTTTGGAGTCCGAGTCTGTGCAGTGATCGTGAGGTGGTGTCGTTTTATCAAAGTCCCACCCAAACACCTGCAGACCCAATCACAAGCTCACAATCATGGCGCCACACCCCGTTTTTATAGCATCAAATAAAAAACTAAAAGCAAACTTATTAGAAAACTTGCTTGAACATACATCAGCGTGATAAGAACTACCTAAAATAGGGGTGCCCAAACTCGTCCTTGAGGGGCAGATCATTTGGAGCCAGAGTCTGTGCTGTAGTGATTCATTTGGAGCCAGAGTCTGTGCTGTAGTGATTCATTTGGAGCCAGAGTCTGTGCTGTAGTGATTCATTTGGAGCCCCGAGTCTGTGCAGTAGTGATTCATTTGGAGCGCCGAGTCTGTGCAGTAGTGATTAATTTGGAGCCAGTGTCTGTGCTGTAGTGATTCATTTGGAGCCCCGAGTCTGTGCAGTAGTGATTCATTTGGAGCGCCGAGTCTGTGCAGTAGTGATTAATTTGGAGCCAGTGTCTGTGCTGTAGTGATTCATTTGGAGCCCCGAGTCTGTGCAGTAGTGATTCATTTGGAGCCCCGAGTCTGTGCAGTAGTGATTCATTTGGAGCCCTTGTCTGTGCTGTAGTGATTCATTTGGAGCTGTTACGGTCCTTTCGAGATCTAGGGAATTGGTCCGCAACATTTAAAACAAATGAATTCGATGAATGGAGAGGAGAGCAGAAAAAAACAGCCACGACGACAGCATATGGCAAAAAGGCAGTAATTTATACAACAAAAAGGGAGAGACACGATAGAGTGGCACCTAAATCAACAAAGAAACAAAACCAAACAAGGCTACACTAAACGCCCAAACCCACTAACCTATCCTAACCAAATAAAAATGTGAAACAAAAACACGAAAGCTTCGGCGTAGGCGACGCCCTAAATACCCTACACTAACTAAAACAGAAAGAAATACACAAGAGGCGCTCACCCACTGACTAGTGTATACCCACATTTTCAGAATTCCTAGCTTTGCACACTGCTTGATAAGCATGTCGAAGCTCTAACCCCTCATCCTCAACATCCTGAGTAACACTTACGTTACTACAGGCTACCGCCACAAGAACAGATTCAGGTGCCTGCCTCCCACCCCCTCCAACCACATCTCCTTCCAAGTCCTCTCTAGAATGAAACGCTTTGAGCATGTTCATATGACACAAACGAGACCTTCTTTTTCGGTCAGGAGTCTCAATTACATAATCAACATCAGACAATTTCCTCAGCACTTGATAGGGCCCAGAGAAACGTGCTGACAAAGCAGAACCTACAACTGGTAACAACACCAGCACCTGATCACCTACACGAAAACTACGCTGTACGGATTTGCGATCATAGCGTTGTTTCATTTTCTTTTGTGCAGTAACCAGCGATTCGTTTGCCAAAGACCACACTTTATGCAGTCGATCGCGGAATCTACTAACATACTCCAGCACATTCATTTTGGGGGTGGAATCAAAACTTAAGATCTTCTCTTTGAGCACTTTCAGTGGTCCCCTTACCGTATGCCGAAACACCAACTCCGCAGGACTAAACCCCAGACTCTCTTGTCTCGCCTCCCGGGCAGCAAATAGAAGTAAAGGTATTCCCTCATCCCAGTCATTGCCGGTATCTAAACAGTACTTTCTTAGCATCGCTTTTAAGGTCTGATGAAATCGTTCCAGTGCGCCTTGACTCTCTGGATGGTATGGGCTGGCGACCCGATGGGAAATGTTTAATGTCGACAATACCTGTGTGAAGATTTTAGAAAGAAAATTCGTGCATTTGGAGCCCGAGTCTGTGCAGTAGTGATTCATTTGGAGCTCGAATCTGTGCAGTAGTGATTCAATTAGAGCTTGAGTCTGCGCAGTAGTGATTCAAAAAAAGTTTTGCGTCCAGCTTCCTCTGAAATAACAGCATGAACGTTCAACTAAACATTTCATGTGATGTTTTCCACTGAATAAGTATGGGTTTAAAACGAATAATTTTGCCTGAATTGTACCTTTTAAGTTCAAGCATATTGATTCATGATTTTCAGATGTTTGATTTAGTTTCCAGTGAGATCAATGACACTCTTTCAGGGCTCCATTTCTAACAGGCGTCCAAAGCAGCATTGTGTTTATTCCTGGATGTAAAAAGTGCATCAGAACAGTGGCACAGGAACAGACGAGCTGCTTTTAACAGAGAATCTGGGGTCAGAGGTACATTTCACAACTGATTAAGCACAAAGCGAGGTAATTACGCCGATCCCATTGCCTGGGTATTTCTCGCATTTTATGATTCTCTTATTGAATTCCTGGTGCTCTCTGGTCGGTGGCTATAGCGTCGGCTAACGCGGGACCAATGAGGCAGAGCAGGTCTCGATCTCACAAGCCGATTGTCTTCCTTGGATCCCGTGGCGTATGGCGTGCCCACCGCCGGCGCGGGGACAATCGCGAGCAGCGAGAAGCCATGCGCATCTGGTTCCAGAAAGGCAGAAAAGGTTCCTCTCTGTGCCTTTGAAGTGGAGGAATGCGCCTCCAAAAATATAAACCTCTTCCCAAACGCTCTTGCCACAGCAGATGTGTAAAACACACAAAAGCACAGTGGAGCCTTTCACCAGAGAAAAGCCTGCTTTATTTCAATCAGATTATTGCAACTACGAGCTCGCAGCCATAAAGCCATGACAACCAGGAACGCATTTGTCGCAGATCAGAGAGAAAGAAAAGACGCTTTTGAATCAGTCATAGCGATTCACTCCGCCAAGGGAAACTCCAAATGAATGTCAACTAGACAGTGATTCAGTTTGTGGCAATTTACTCGATTGAGGTTCGACCAAAAACATACGGCATTCAGCGGCCCAGCGCGGATTATTAAGACTCGATTCATCAAGCTTGAAAGGAGCGTCACAGACACTGGTGCATAGAAGTGATGCCAGCTTGGTGTCGAGGCTAACCTGTCTTTCAGCACTCTGATCTTTGAGTGAATACAAATGTACCTTCATTTTCTCCGGTCATAGATGCATGAACGGCCGTCTTTTCTCCTTTTTCATGTCTTTCAGATGTTGAGTGAACTAGCTCACAAGTTTGAGCCCAGCAGGGACGTTACAGAGGAAAGAGGCTGCTGTGATTCTCAGGGCGGCGAAACTCTCACACGCACTCATTTGTCATAACAACAGCGAGGAAATCGAATATCGTTATTGTTTCCTTCAATGTGAGCAGACAATTAATCAATCAGTGAATTAAATTAGTAAAATCCAGATCTCTGATATGTTTTTGTGAACATGTCACTTGACAAAGCTGGCATGACCCAGGACTATTAAAGCTCGGCTTGATTTCAAAGTCATCATGAAATCATAATTCATGTTGCTTATTGTGAATGACCCATCAATGCATGTTATTCTAAAGGAGAAACAAAAATTTGTTACTTAAAATTAATTTGAACTAAAATTAAATATAAAAAAAATAAATAAAAAATGTAAACTTATTTTATTTCAACTAGTTGCCAAGGCAACATTTCTTATTTTAGTTTAAAGTACTAAAATAACTAAAGCTAAATAAACTAAAACTAAATACTATATAGACAAACAGCACAAATAAAAATAACAAAAAACACCACAAAACTACTAAAACTTTACAATTAAAGTGAAAACAGAACATCTAAAAATAAAATCTAATTCAAAATATTAAATAAAATAAAAAAATCAATGATACTAAAATAACACTGGTTTCATCAAAATGTAATACATTTAAAGGATACATATTATGCCCCTTTTTACAATATGTAATATAAGGAAATGCACCTTATAAGTGGGTTTGCCAACCACCATTAAAAAAGAAAAGAAGAAGAAGCTTGTACCTGCTAAAAACATCTGTTTTGGTTCTGATTAGCATGTTTATCGCGCTGAAATCATGTGTTTTAAACCATATTATTTTAAATTTCTAATATACGGTTTTCTGAGAGCACACATCCGAAGCACACGCACAGAAAGCGGCTGTCACAGCATGTGAGTACTAAAC